TGACATGTTATATATATAATAGAAATGACATTTTTATTACTAGTTGAGACTTAAGATGTCAATTTTCAATTCCATATTTTTGATTTAATCCACATGATACACTCAAGATGACATTTTTCTATACATTGACAATCAAGATGATATATTTATTACTAAAATGACATTTTAGCAGTATTTTCTTGCAAGTTAATATGCCAATAAAATGACCTTCGAGATGACTTTAATTTTAATTCAAGAAGACATTAGATCATGAAAATATGACTTATTGACATTATCACTTGACTAGATTCCACCCGTGCGTTGCACGGGATGCAATTAGTAAGTATTTAGTGTTTTGAAAAGGTAAAGAAATGTTACAATAAAGATAAAATACATACTACCTCCGTCCCAAAAAACTTTTCCATTTTCAAAACTTTGACCAATTATATCTTTTTATTGAAAATTATTTATAATATAAAAATCATATGAAAATGTTCTTTGTTAAAAGTACTTTCATATGAGTATAAAATTATTAACTTCCATGATATTATACTAATCAAAACCATGGTTCAATTTTTTTGAAATGACAAAGTTTTTTGGGACGGAGGTAGTATGTTTTTTGCAAAATTATATGAAGATATACATTACTTCAAATTACTCAGTATTATATACCTCCTTATAAACATCATTTAAAATATTTTTTACCGGTTTTCCGTCACCATAACATATACCGGTGTCCATTACTCGTGAGACCATGACGCACATGTGTCCATGAGTGAAAGTAAGATGACGCAAGAAAACACAATCCACTCTAGAGACGATAATCTTTCTCTTGTTGACGATTATCCCTAACCAAGCATCAAAGGGATTGACATGTTGAGAGAAAGAGAAGAAAATTCAACTCACTTTTTTAAAAATAGAGTCTGTTTGGTAATAACCAAATCAGTTGTATTTGCTGATTCTGCTAAAATTTATGAAGTTCTGATTGAAGTGGCTGGATTGACTGATTCTGCTAATTTATGAAAGAATTATATTTAAAATATATTTTATTAATAAAATAAAGAAAATATTATACGAAGAAACAACTAAAATGATTCTCTATATTAACTTTATCCAATATACCCAGTAAAGTAACACGGACCTTATTTTATCTTACTTTTACATAATTCAGTGCGCAAAATCAAAAGTTACGTTTTTTGTGAAAAAAGCCTCATAAAAGAACCATATTCAAAATTGTTGTTTTTTATTTCAATGTCCACCAACAAACACTAATAAGAGGCGTTAACAAAATTTTAAATTTCTTGAAGAATAACCATTAATGTTCGTCGAGACCCCACAATAATTAAGATATTTTCTTTTGGACTGTAATTTGTTGGTCTGGTCTGATCTGATATGTTTTAGTCTGATCTGGTCTAATCTAAAATGATCTGGTAATCTAGTGTTTGTGTATTTTATAACTGTTCAAGTCTAGAATTGTTTAGTCTGATTTGATTTGTTTAAATCTGGTCTGATTTGGGACTGATGAACATCCTTAATACTTTTCAAGTTTGGTTAAACTCTACTTCTTACAATGTACTCCAAAAGTGAAAAATCTTAACGCTAACGTTTTAAATTGATTACCTGATTTATAGCTTTTAATAATTATATATTTTACATTATCTTTTTGTGGTTTTTTCATAAGTTTATATTTTACATTATATTTTTTTAATGTGTCCATCAGATTTTAGGCTATTTTATCTTGCTTTCACCTATTAATTGTTTGGTTAGAGAGACAAATAGAAAATAAAAGGAGAGAATGACACCCTGGCCTGTCTAGGTTTATACGGAGTATACTTCATATATTACAGTAATGTTTCATTATAGTACTACGTATGTCTTTGTGTTTGGCTTATGACTATAATTTTTAAAAATTGGCTCAAAGCTATCAATCCTAACCAAACAAAATTTACTTTACACTTCATGTCAAACTTGTGTGGCTCTGTTTCTATCTTCCTCTTTTGCCTAATGCTGCAGCAACTTTTTAAACTTGCAATATTGGTCCATGATATTAAGAAACTTGTACTGATCGTCAATAGCTCATGACATACTCGTTGCTGTAAAAAATTTACTCCAAAATCGAAGGTATAAACATCTGAAAATTCAACAAAATTAACATTCCATCTTGCTTCTGAACTAAATATTGATAGTGAAAACATACATAATATGTCAATGCTCCTTTACTGAAAATGACAAAAAAGTAGAACTGGTTCAAATTACCACCAACCCATCAATATATTTCTTGAATTCATATATGTTGACAAATGATTATAACATCCTCCTCGGTCCTCATACATAATGCACTTCAGAGCACTTTGAAGTGGATTCTGTTATATCCTCATTCTCATTGTGAGGAAGACATTCACTTCATAATACGCATTATTTTCAATTTGCACATTTCCATTATTCAACCCTGCAAAAAATGTCTATTCAATAATGCAATCACTAAATTATTCATCTCCATCAATAGCCTATTCATTCTATCATTAAAAATGAAACTACAAATAAGAGAAATGGCTTATAAACATACATAGGTCAGCGGTCAACCTCTATTTGGGAGAATTATTAGATCACCATAATGCCAATAGCCTGTGATATGCATATGCATATGCACTGTAAATTAGACAGAGTATGAAAAAATAAAAATAAATTAAAACATACCCTTGTGGTTTTGATTGAACAATTTGATATGAGCTGGGAATTTTGCTTGATTCTTAAGATTGCATATCACCTGTAAATTAAAAGATAGAAGAAAATTTGATATGAGCTGGGAATTCTGTTAGCTGAAGCTTGAATAAAATTTGCAAAACCAAGGAAAAGAAGAAATTATCGAAAATGGAATTAAAACAGGAAAGGGGAGTCCGGGAGTAAAAACTTAAATAAGCTAGCAAATTGAAGATGGGAGTTATAAACTATCATGGCATAGGCAACGACTGAAGAAACAAATGGCAGATGAGGAAACGTGAGTGAGAAGAGAACCATTTGCCAAGAAATGAGTTGAAACTGGAATCCAAATTTGGAAGAGAATTTTTTTCTGTTGATGATGACAATCGAACAATCCCCAAGTGTTTATAGAAAAAACAGGAATCAAAAGCTGAATCAAGAACTGAAAGTATTTAATTCAAAGAAAATTAAAATGGGAATCAAAACCTGAATTTGGAGAGAGGGGTTGCTTCCATGTTGTTGAGCTTAGATTGATTCCTATGAATGGAGAAGAAGAGTTGCTGATGAGTGAAGATGATGAAGACGATGGAGAAAGATAGGTTGCCAAGCGTGATGGGGATTACGATGAGCGAAGAAGAGGAAGGCGATGTAGTACAGGACCGCGATGGCTTGGGAGGCTGGGATGAGGAGGAATGAACGATCTCAAAGCCGTGAATCTTTTCTGATCGTGTGGCTGAAAAGTACTTGTTCTTTGAGCGGGAAAATGCCTCCTCCACAAAGTAGTGCAATTATGTAGGTTGAGATGGAGGCTTGTAATCCCCATCATAAATTCATGTACGAAAATATACTTTCAATTGCTAGTTTGCTTTGTAGGAGATAATTGAAAATATCTCCTTCAACTTTCTTTGCCTTCTCTTCTTTTCAGCTTTCTCTGCCTTCTCTTCTCTTGATGGATTTTAACATTAGACTACCTAGCTGCAGTTTACATGAGTATACAGAAACTTGGAGGCAGGTACTCTTAGCATCCTGCAATTGAACTCAAAAATACCCAAATCAATAGTCTAGACTCTGAATGAATCTCACATAAAATGATTCAATATTGTAGTTCAGATATACTACGTATATGATATTTCAGTTTGAGGTATGATATTTCAGTTTCAAGAGTGGAACAGCTTCAGAAACTTGACGCAAAAAGAGAAAATGCAGAAGAATTCAGGGGGGCATTTGGTACCACCTTGTAGTAACGTAATCCTAAAAGAATTAAAAGTTCAATAATCTATGTATCTGCTTTAATCTTAATTAGTTAGTAAAATGCAAAAAGGTAATCAAGATCAAATAAATACTACATATATGCAAAGAGGTAATCAAGACCAAATAAAGAACAAATCTAGCCATCCTACTCTCGGATTTGTGAAAACTTTTCATGACAGATTAATGTCATAAGTAGTGTGGCTAAAAGCTATCAATCCTAACCAAACATGGAGGCGTGGCTAAAATATTTTCACAATCATAAAATAAAAATTGAATTTAATATAGCCTATTCGCTTAATCATAAAATCTTTATTCGAAATACACGCACAACCAGATCTGAATTCCTATCAATAAAGAGCTTTAGAAGAGAAACGAAAATGAAAAGAGCAATCAGAAGTTCAATTATAAACTAATGAAATTGAGAATATAAATGTGTAAAATTAATTAATATTAACATATCTGATCAACAGAGCCTCATAGCTGAGTGACGAAGATGGCATAGGAGAACCGGCAACATGGCTGAATGCAGGGGCATCACTCGGAGGCTCGGGTGGTATACTCACCCCAGAGATGGATTTTCTATGTGCGATTGATAAAGAGATAGATTGAGAAACCTAAATTTGATTTGTGAAAGGGCGGTGAAATCAGAAATGCGGTGACGATGAGCGATTGAGAAAGACATGTGCCTTGACCTTTAATTTCAAAGTTATTGAGAAATGCGGCGGATCTGGAATGAAGTGAGAATCCTTTCAGTTCCATGATGAGCGACTATGGTGATGAGCGCAGTGAGATAAGGAAGATGGTGCGAGAAAGTGAAAGGTGAAGTGAAAGTCGTAGATGTTCTTTCTATCGGACGGCTGAAATGGATTAGGCGCTTGAGCGGGAAAATGCCTCTATAGTAAAGTAGTGCAATTATGTAGGATGATTACCATACTATGGTATCATCGGATAATTCATGATCTTATATTTTCATTTTCAGCATATTTTATTCTACTATGCCATTTTCTATCTTTTTTCTTGAAAAGCTAACAGGTGTTTTTTTCAAAAGTATCGAATCATCGACAAGTTTCTTTAAATTCAATAAAAAACGATCTTTTCCTTGAATACCGGCATTGGCCAAAATGAAACAGATATCCACCATAAAAGATAACATAGCTCAAGACTACCACATCTCCATGAAAAACAGTCACAAGAAAACGAGCAACGATACGGGAGGAGAGGGCTAAACCATGGCATTACATTATATTTCCAAGCATATACTGCTTGGAAATGCAATAAGTTCCATTGTGGCTAATTTATTCCTAGCTCTTCTGCACTGCGAGCCCTCACACATTGTCAGCACACCTTTTCGACATCCATCTGAGAATGAATGGCCTTGTATCAATTGAGACTGCACAGAGGGAGCTTCGACTTGGAGTCACGGTACTTGTATGGGTTCAAACATGAAAGACCAGCACACTTTTCACGAGGAGGTGGATAACTGAAATTTCACAACAAATCCAAAAGAAAAAAGTATTTAATTTTCTTCCTTTTTTTATTATAATTGAGCATTGTATCAGAAGACGTAAATATCCTTATTTTTCACACCTCTCTACTGCTGGTTTTACTTTTTCTACTATTCACAACATCTTCAATTTTACACTAGATTCCGTGAAACCCTATTGGTGCAACTACGAGCCCGTTTGGTAGCACAAAAATTGGCTGTTTTGGCTGATTCTACTGAAACTTATGAAGTTCTGACTGAAGTGGTTGCATTGGCCGATTCTGCTGATATAAGAAAAAATTATTTTATTTTATTAATAAAATAAAGAAAAAATTATATGTAAAAATAGCTAAAATGGTTATCAACAGTAACTTCAGCCAATACAGCCAGAAAAGTAACTCCAAGTGTTTGGTGAAAAAGTTGGCTGATAAGCTTGATAAGCCGAAAAACAGTGTTGCCAAACGGCCTCTACATGTGAACAGAGGTCATAGATATTTTTACCTGTGGGGTTTGGATCCGAATATAAGGGGTAAACCCATCTCCATTGGAAATGTCACTACTTTCACTATAGGGCTCATGATGATTATGACGGTTTCTGATGTTTAGCAGCCTTCTCCTATAAAGGTATAGGTAGATATATCAATTTAAATGGGGGTGGTAATGCTTGATAGCATCTATCATGAATATGACCTCTAAAATGCACACTTGCATACCTGGGCCAACTCTTCTTGATGCTTCTTCACTTAGTCCTCTTTCTTCTTTCTATTTGAGTCTTGACCAAGTATTTTTCTAATTGCCTCAGCCTGTTTTATCAATATGATAGATATGGCTTACTTCATTAATAAAATTCTCAACACATGAGAGTGGCAGTAAGTTTAAACAAGAAAATAGCCAAAGGGAAAACCTCTGATTCTCGAGCTGCCTTCTCATTTTGCATTCTACGCCTATGTGCGGCTTCAGTTTTCTTTAGTTGCTGCTCCACCTCAGTGAGTTTCTCTTTTTGTTCTGTAACAGTGCAAATAATCAGCAGAAATAAGGCATTTAGAGCTCATTTGGTATTACCTCTTTTCAAGCTTATCATCTATATTTTCACCAAACACTAAATTTACTACACTGGCTGGATGAGCTGAATAGCTGGTCATGAAAAAAATATTGGGAGTCACATTTTTGTCTAAAATTAAAGAGAATGGCATTCCTAGCTTCATTTTTCTTTATATTAGTTTCAACTTTTTTATTTATGCACCAATCACATACCATACTTTGACCTTTTTGCCAACGCATAAAAACAAATCCTATAACGTAAATGCTGTTACATTTTTAGTCTAGCAAAAAGTTTGGTGTTACTTAAAGTTATTTTACCTACTGTAAATACAAATTAAAGCCATTTAGCTGAAGTTTCATAGAATCCAGCACAGTTTGACCTTTTTGTCAACTTGCAAGCTTTTATTTTCCTTCTTTAAAAGTCATCCAAGCAAGCACAGTTATAGGGAAATAAATAAAAACAGCACACTTACTTCGAGATGGGGGTGGAGGCAACCCATTAGGGAACTCAACCTTACTCACACCAGCAGATGGCTCCTTGCCTGAGAGAAGAGCATGTTGGCGTGTTGTAAGAGCTATTTCCCTCTTAGATTCTGTCTGCGTGTTAGGTGGGGAATCCTTTTTCTGTTTTTGTTTCCTTTTTGCTTCACGCTCCCCATCAGACAACAACACTTCTTTCTCCTCTTCATAGTCAGTGTCTTCAGAACTTTTATCAAATGATCTCTTCTTACCATCTTTGGTCAATCCTCCAATCTCTTCAACACTTTTAGAAACCCTAGAGAGACTCCGATGTTTGTTGGCAGGTTCCTCTTCAAAATCCCTAACCCCAAAAACTTTTGATTTTTTCAGCTTTTCCAGATACCGGATCTCATCATCTTCTTCTTCATCTTCGTCAAATGCCCCATCCAAAACACGCCTCTTTAGAACCCGTTTGCTCTTCCTCACGGAATCTGACTCTTTAGCAGTGTTTTTGGTTGATGTCTTCCTGTTACCCTCCCTGCTAGAATCAATAAACCCCCTTGACATATCTTTCATTGGGTAATGGGTTTTCTTATCTGAAAGAGAATAACCCTCTCCTGAATTGTCCTGTGATTGAAAGCAAAAGTTCAGATGAACTATATACAATACAGTAGCTATATGGACGACTAACAAGGCGAAAAATGTCTAATGTGGTCTAAATGTCTAATAATTCAAACTAAATTCAAAAACTCCAGTCTATATGAGAAACATTTAACCTCTCATGAATCTGTCTTCTAGTTAGAGAAAAGAGCCCCATACAATCCTACAATCTAAAAGATAAAGAATTGCATATTTGCCTCGTTTAAATAAGTGAAATATTATTCCCCTCTAATAAAGATAATCAAAGTTAAATTTTATTTCCTCTGCCTGAGTCTGCCATGATGACAGCTGAAGGAGTCTTGATACAATTCCATCGCGATATGCAACTGAACTTTCTTCACCTCCACTCATCCACATAAAGTGTATTACAAAATGACGTTTTCTGAAATCCTTTTGCTAACGAATCACTTGATAAAAAGGACAATTATGTGTGTACATCTGAATGGTAAGTTTCTGACCTGAACGAGAGGTATCAGAAGGTCGAGAACCCTTCGAGGAAGATCCATCACCAGAAGTACCATAGGGATTGTCTTTGGCTTGAATACTACATGTTACCCCACCGACCTTCAGCTCAACCTTCTTGAGCTTATTGTCGCTTCCTATACTGTTTTGAGTTGTTCCCAATTGTCTGGTAAGATTCAGTTCGTGATGGGCATCATCTCCTACTCCACCGTGGCTGTAGGACACTCTAGATCCCTGATCATCCTTAATCTTCTTGTTTGGATGGTCACTTTCAGCTATAGTAGTAGGAGAGCCCCTTGATATACACTGGTTAAGGCTGATCATCTTACCTCCAGAACTAACATCAGTTTCCTCACTGGAGACCCTAAAAGCATCATTTGAAGTTGGTGTTACTGGGTCATAACTTTCTAGAAACAGCTGAATCTCAGGCCTAGGTCGACGAGGAATGCTGCTTCTCCTCTTCCTTGTTATTATACTACTAGAAGCAGGAGCTTCAATTACAGTGCCACCAGATTCATCCATGATGTCTAACCAAAAAATTAACAGCTAAACGGTGCAATCACCCAATAAAAGCTCGTTATAAGAAAAAAATGTACTAGTAACAGATTCACTTAGGAATGATGAGAAGAGTCTAGAGAGATAATAAAATCTGACAAAGACGTTATTCGAGCATAATTTGGATATTTCACCATCTAGGAAAAATGTTCTTCACTAACCACAAAATGACAATAAGATTAAAGTATCAATGTGAAAAATCTCATTCAATAAGAAGCATAATGTTGGGATAATGGGCCGGGCCAAATACTATCGACCCAGCACGCCTCGGCTCGGGCCTAAACCAGGCCCACGCCTCGGTCCGGAAAGAGAGGGTGGACCTTTGAATTATTTGTTTAACTCTTGGGCCGGCCGGCCCCGGGGGAGGAGTTTTTGTTGTTTAATTGGGCCAAGCCCATTAGCTTTAAGGCAAGCCTCTTGTAAGTGCCTATAAATAGGCCGCCCACTCATTGTATTTGGCACGTCACTTTTATCGTACCGAATTGCTGCCGGTTTCTCTACTCAAATTATTTTCTACCAACATTGGTGCTTTCATTGAGAGTTATTCTCTCAATTTTTGGTAGAATCTTCGAGGAGGAAAATGGCATGAACACCAAAGCAAAAGCGAGTTTCCGTCCACACCGAGCATTCAGAACTGCCCGATGGCCATTGTGTGAGAAGCCAGGTCATGAAATTGACGGGAGATCTCCGGAACCATTTGTCGAGCTCAGGGGACCTGAGGGGTTCACTGAACCGCAGTCATGATAGACAATCCATTCATGATTGGATTGGAGGTCGCCGTCGTCGCGCTCCGCGCGCGAACCGACTCGATGCTAGAGTGCAAACGCCACAGGAGGACACACACGCCATTAAGGCTTTGGCTCAGGGTTTCCAGGGGATGATGCCGCGGAGAGCAAATCATGAAACTCTGAGACACACCACCCCTGAGGACATTGAGACTTCCTCTGGGAAATATGAAGGGCAACGTACCACTTCGGATGAATCGCGAAGGGAATCCTTGCCCCAGAGGGAGCATATGCCCCGACAAGTCGAGTAGTCTCGACGACCTAGAAGGGGAGGGCCCCGCCGAGACTCGTCATGGGAAGGCGGGGATGACTTCTCTCGTCACTCCCGCCATCCGAGTGGACAAACCAGTTCCCTAAAAGAACACCGTGGTGGCCGTCGACCTCACACGCGTGAAAGGGTCACAGAATCCTATTCGCGGGTCTAGCCCCGTGCTGAGCGCGCGCCGGAGGAACCAGCGCCCGAAGCTGTGGAGGATCTCAGATTGAGGTTGGACGAGCTAAGGAGGAAGGTTGTTGGGGGAGAGCCATATGTGGCCGACCTCCACATCCCGGAGCCCTTCACTCGTGCTGTGATGGAGGACCCGTTGCGAAGGGGCTACAAACCCATTAGCTTTAATTGGGCCAAGCCCATTAGCTTTAAGGCAAGCCTCTTGTAAGTGCCTATAAATAGGCCGCCCACTCTTTGTATTTGGCACGTCACTTTTATCGTACCGAATTGATGCCGGTTTCTCTACTCAAGTTATTTTCTACCAACATTGGTGCTTTCATTGAGAGTTATTCTCTCAATTTTTGGTAGAATCTTCGAGGAGGAAAATGACAGGAACACCAAAGCAAAAGCGAGTTTCTGTCCACACCGAGCATTCAGAACAGCCCGATGGCCATCGTGTGAGAAGCCAGGTCGTGAAATTGACGGGAGATCTCCGGAACCATTTGTCGAGCTCAGAGGACCTGAGGGGTTCGCTGAACCGCAGTCGTGATAGACAATCCATTCATGATTGGATTGGAGGTCGCCGTCGTCGCGCTCCGCGCGCGAACCGACTCGATGCTAGAGTGCAAACGCCACAGGAGGACACACACGCCATTGAGGCTTTGGCTCAGGGTTTCCAGGGGATGATGCCGCGGAGAGCAAATCATGAAACTCTGAGACACACCACCCTTGAGGACATTGAGACTTCCTCTGGGAAATATGAAGGGCAATGTACCACTTCGGACGAATCGCGAAGGGAATCCTTGCCCCAGAGGGAGCATATGCCCCGACAGGTCGAGTAGTCTCGACGACCTAGAAGGGGAGGGCCCCGCCGAGACTCGTCATGGGAAGGCGGGGATGACTTCTCTCGTCACTCCCGCCATCCGAGTGGACAAACCAGTTCCCTAAAAGAACACCGTGGTGGCCGTCGACCTCACACACGTGAAAGGGTCACAGAATCCTATTCGCGGGTCTAGCCCCGTGCTGAGCGCGCGCCGGAGGAACCAGCGCCCGAAGCTATGGAGGATCTCATATTGAGGTTGGACGAGCTAAGGAGGAAGGTTGTTGGGGGAGAGCCATATGTGGCCGACCTCCACATCCCGGAGCCCTTCACTCGTGCTGTGATGGAGGCCCCGTTGCGAAGGGGCTACAAACCTTGCAACGTGGACACTTACAAGTGCACTTCAAACCCGCAACACCGCAGATCACGTTACCTGTCTTATATGGTCATGATGGGGTACAAAGATGCCATACGATGCAGAGGACTCGCAGCTACCCTAGATGGCCCGGCTCGGGGGTGGTATGACACACTACCTGATGGGAGCATTGGGAACTTCAGGGAGTTGGCTAGGCACTTCCTCTTGAGGTTCGCCAGCTCACAAGATGTGAAGAAGAATTTCAGCCATCTGTTCAGCCTGAAGCAAAGGAAGAAGGAGGCCCTGTCCACCTTCCTAGCAAGGTGGAGGGCCGAGTTGGTCAAGGTTCAAGGCTTTGACGACAGGACCGGAGTGGCAATGCTGACAAATTCTATCCAATCAGGAGAACTTTATGAGGATTTTTGTAACACCCCCATTTTCCCTCCCAAAATAATACTTCAGATAATAGATTTATTGACAGTAAACTTGATTTATTCTTTCAAACCAGATAAAAAGTTTTGCAGCGGAAATAACATTAATTGGGAAATGGGTGTTACCGCCACATCCGGTCATCTCTTAACCGAATGCACAGGCAATCACAAAACAAAGTAAAAAGTGTTCAACATAATTGGATTGTTTATTCATGACTAGGTTTGACTAAGGCATCTTCTACGTCGCTCACAGGCGCATGCAATCAACAATAAACATATTCATCATCACCTGCACAAATAAAGTGCAGAAAACAAAACAAAGAAGAGGAAACAAAAATTAGCTTTAGAGCTAAGTAAGTACTACCCAACCCCGTAAAATAATCAGGTTTGGCGAAAAATAGTTTTTCATATAATACTATATAAAAATGACACACTCCACCAAAATTCTTTTTTTTTTTCTTTGATATTTCTCAAAGTCACTTCTTTAATAAAGTTCTCAAAAAAATTCTATAGTAACTCTTCTCTTAGAATTTCTCAAAATTCACTTCTTCTCTATCTTCCTAGTAATTTAGAAGGGCGGTGCTCAACACGTACTCTGAGTGAGCCCGGTGGTTACGTTGTTATGTACGGCCACCCCGGGACTTTTGCCGGTACCACAACTGCTAATGGAAACGAAACGACTACCTTAAGTGTGCACACCCCCAAAAAGGGATTCCAAGCCCTCCGAGTAGTAAGTCGTCATGAGTAATCGGGACTCAGTCTACCAACTACCCCACCTTTAAAATTCTTGAATGATTAGGGACTACTACTACTATAACTTCTTCTTAAAAGGGATCATAGACCCAAATGTCACTTCAAACTCAAACTGTACTTCTTAGTAGTAGCAGCCTTAATCACCCTCCACATTTATCCGGATGTGGAAAACCGACACCACGGATTTCTCCCGGGTGCTCACTTCTTATGAAAACGTAAATTTTATTTTGACTTTAGATATACTTCCAAAAAGTATTTCTCAATCTCTCTAAATAGTCTCAAAGATATTTAAAAATATTTAATACCCCAAAGTACTTCATTTGCACTTCTCAAATACCATAGATCTAATATCTCCTCAAAATCACATACACATAATTCAAAATTCACACTTTAATCAAATAATAGCATATAATACGAGGAAACCATTTTGGATCGGCAGAGAAACTTACCTCAAATTCAATGCTTCTATTTTTCTTCCTCTATTGCGGTCTCTAGATAATCACCTTTTTAATTAAGATGATATAATTAGTCGACTTTCTAACCTTAATTATTTACCAAATTTTCCCTTATTATTAGTTGAGTTTATCAATCTGTTTAGCCATTAATTCGAATTTCATTTTGCCATTAATCATCGATTAGTTTCTTCTATCAATTTTTATTCCTTACTCTACTATTTTTAATTCGGCCTTTCATTTATTTACTATTATTAATCCAACCTCCGCATATATAATTAGTTTACTAATCATCATCAATTAAAGATGTTGTTATTAATGTAATACTTATAAAATAATAGATCCGAAATGTATATTATTACAGATAATAGATCCTAATTATGAAATTTCTCTAATTGCCTTTATTTAGTCCATCTTAATTAATCCACTATTTTAGTGTAAATAATAATCCACAATTTGTAATCCAATTTATCTCACGTTATTAGTTTTTAACTTTTTATTAACTACACATCGATTTATTTTTCCATTTAACGTTATGTATTTATGTTAAATCACAAATACACAATTTATCCAAGTGATTACTATCGATCAACCAAGCCAACGTCATCATTAATATTTCTCATCTCAAATTTATTCATTTTGCAGATTATTACTATTATTATTATTATTGGTAGTAGTAGTAGTTCGGTATTTAAAAGTAATCGGCCGACGTAACCATTTGTACACTTCCAGTTCAATCCACCAAATGATTCAACCGTCCACTTGTTTATATGATTATTGTTAATGGTCTAAATGAATATAATCAGCCCAAATATTTACAGCAATTGACCGGTTTATCAATACATACAACTAATAATATTTAATTTTGTTATTAAACATTCAGCCCAGTTGCTTTATACAATTTCAGCCCAATCCCAAATAAACACTTAGCCAGCCTGTTCGCATGAACTACGTACGTATATACTACTCCTTACATAACTTTGTCTTCTTCGTATAATCACCGGAAAAACGCAAGGAGTAGCCGGCTTACCTTATTAATGACGG